CCTCAAAACCCCAAAACCCCAAAACCCCAAAACCCCTTTAATTATGATCCACATTGAAATTGCAGAAAGTTGGATAAATAGACCAAATATGTATTATAAAAAGCAAGTGATTTTATAATAATTAAACCATAATGGAAAATCAATTCAAGTTATCGCTTAAAATTCAATACCAAGATAAAGTCAAACGTCTCGCTGAGAAGGTCTATAATGATATCGAGGACCTCAAGGCTGTTATTCAGACCAGCTTTAGGACTTTAAGCTCACAAACTTATGTCTTAAAATATCAGGATAACGAAAATGACTGGCTCTACATCTTTGATAATTCTGATCTTCTGGCTCTGAAGGAGTATTTCTCAGAAAAGAATGGGAAGCCTATTAAACTGGTTATTGAGACTGAGGAAGAGCTTGCTGCTTCTTCTGTTACTCCAAAGAAGCTTAGTGAAAGTATAATCAAAGACTCCTGCGTTGCTGAAGTAGAAGCCTTTCTTCAAGCTGAGAATAACAACAAGGAAGAAGAAAAACAACCATTTGAAGAACTAAAAGAGACTGTCAGTGTTAATGAGGAAGAACAAGAAATGGAAATCCAGGAGGAAGATGCTTTTGATGATTATGAAAAAGTTTCAGAAAAGGCCACTTCTCCAAAAACTTCTACAATGGTGGATGAGGTCAATAAGATGCTTGAAAATACCAGCTTCAGACCATCTGATATAAAACAATCAGAAGAGCAAGATATGAATATGGACCCAGTTATTGTTGAAGAGCCATCTGCTTTTGAAGATCTTGAGGAAGAAGTTATTGATACTTCTAACAGGAATTCTGATGAAAAATTGCCTGAAGAACCTCCTACGGAAGAGAAGAAAGACTTCAACATTTTTGATCTTTTCAATAATATCAACAATATGATGAACAAGGACGACAAAGATTTCAAGCCAAGAGATCTTGCCAACACTATTAAGGAATCTGTTAAAGGCACTAAAGCTCAAAATAAGCTAAAGAAGGTCTGCAATCAAATGAAGAAAGGAAAAGGCTTCTTTATGAAGAAGATCTTTAAGAATATTTTCAGTGGTCTTCTCTCTGATAATGAAGAGAAGAAATCTAACATTGTTCATCAAGGAATCGTCTGCGATGGATGCAATAAAGATCCAATTGTTGGAACAAGGTACAAGTGCTCTGAATGCCCAAACTTTGACATTTGTGAAGACTGTGAAAAGAATGATGTTCATAATCATCATGTTTTCCTCAAATTAAAGAACCCAATGAAGATTGACATTATTTACTCACACAGGACTGATGATAGAGAAGCTGTTAATTCTACTAATCCCCCAGCTAACCATCCTCCTCCGCACCCACCAATGCATCATCCTCCACCAATGCATCATCCTCCGCCAATGCATCATCCTCCACCTCACCATCGTGGACATCCTCCTCATTTTGAAGGAAATTGGGGAAATCACCATGGATGGGATCATCCATGGGGTGGACGTGGAAGAAGAGTTAGAGGAAGACATTGTGGTAGAAGAAATAGAAGATGCCCAAGAAACTTTGACAATGAAAATCCTCTCATGTCTTTAGCCCAACAGTTCCTCGGTGGATTTGAAAATGATAGCTCTGAATCGCCCCAAAGAGAAGATAGGAGAGGTGGACAAAACTGGGTCCAAAAGAGGCCTGTTATCATTAATAGACCTGAGGGACCTGTCACTGGATGTGCAGGAGGTTTAGCTATTGTTGAGACAACTGTTCAAAACCAATCTCCTTTCCCATATATGCTAAAAGATGTCAAAATGATTGAAGCTGATGAAGGTATCAAATTCCAAGAGATCAATACTAATGTCAGACTAAACAGAGATGAAAGTCAGGATTTCTGCCTAGCTGTTAGTCTCCCAGACACTCCTGGAAAATACCAAGCCAGATTCGGATTCTTCAACAAGAACAACCAACAACATGGAGAAACCCTAGAAGTAATCTTCGAAGTTCTCCCAGATACCTCTGAATAATTCTTCTAATATTCCTCTAGTTATCTAAATTTTCAACCAAATTCTAAATTTCTGGGGTTTTGGGGTTTTGGGGTTTTGGGGTTTTGGGG